TATATATATATATATACACGCTTATTCCCACACAACACATCCTGGTTTAGGCTCTCATGACCATTGATATATATATTTCTGAAGTTTTGTTAACTTTCGGAGCCTTTAGATTTTTTACTTTAAAATAAAACACATTGTAAAAACTTACGAGCAAAGGTATATTGGGTACTATCAGTTTTAGATCTCCATCTTTAGACATTTCGGGCATAAAATTTAGAATTTTCCTATGCTGATAACTGACAGTTCCGTTGTTGTGGAACGCAATATTGACTTTTTCCATATCTTCGCTGTAAAACAAAAAGAAGTACACGCTTATCGGAAAATTCAAAAAAAGTTTTCATAAAAATACATCTTTACTTGATACTATTCGAAGATACACATTATTCGATTTATATATCGCGTTTGTTCCTCGATTGTGTAATAAAGTAAAAGTTTGTGCACATTCCTTGAATGTGTATATAAAATAAATAAAAAAAAAAAAAACTTACCGATACACAAACGGGCCGATTTCCTGTAGCTTCGGCTTCTCATTGTACTGCAGAAAGCCTTCCGTATTGGTTACATTAAATATGTAAACCTTCGTCAATCGAACTACGCCTGGCTTCTGCCAATATTGGAATGAAAGCGAACCGTTCCACAGTCGCAGTTGCTAGAAAAGCGCGCAACGCACATTGCCAATGTATTATTATTATATACGCGTTTCTCTCTCAACGCTCGAAACTTGCACGTCCGCATTTCTCGTAACGAGATGCTTATTATGATAGCAGTTTTTCATCGAATTATCGTTAGTCAGCTCAAGAAGAAATCTGATCTTGATGTAACAATTTAGAAAAGATAATACCTATATATATATATATATATATATATATATGTATATATGTATAATAATGCTTTTTTATTTTTATATAGCCTCTGTTACTCAAGTAAGAAAGTGCGTCAAAGATTGTCACCTAGTTTCTTTTTGCGAAAAATATCTAAACTCGGGTTCTTTTTTTCAATAAAAAAAAAAGAAAGGTAGTACGAGAAAAGAGAAAGTGTAAGAACGGAAACAAATTGTCACATTCCTCATGTTGGTGTAAAAAATCAGTAATCAAGCAATACCGTCAAAAGAATAATAAATTGTTTCTACATGAAAAAAATAAACTGACAATAACAGTTGTGTTCAACAGGTTACATTAAACGTTCAAAACGATTAATTAATATTTATTAATGAGCAATAAACATTCGCATTAAAAATTTCAATTTTGCAAGTAATAATCAATAAAAGCGATAATAATACATTGGTTTATAATGAGAAAGACAAATCATAAATTATCTAGCAAATCACGAACGCGTGCTATGGCGTATATTGAGACGACTTTAGACTTTAGACAAAACATTTAGAAAAACTTGTATTTATTGCGAATGCAAATTACTTTGCGCGAACATGTAAAAAGTATCGAATAATAACTACCATTTGCAACATTTCCTTTAAACAATTGTAAACTTGTATATGTATAATTGAGTATTTTTGCAAGCAAAATTTCTGAGAGTGAAAAAATAAAAATCGAAAAGCAGAAACGTGTTAGAACGAAGCAGATCTTGTTCCGTTCAGTCACACTAATTCCACCGATGATTGTGCAAAATCTCATACGGCGCTGTATTAAACGAATGTCGCAAGTAAATGTGTGTATCTCACATACTTACTTTTAAGATAAGGCAATCAACCCATGGTATACTACTCAGCACTATGCCAATCACAAGTGCAAGGAGACCTAAGCAAATTGCTGCTATCCTGCCTGCAAAAATAACAACAATAACGTTACCAGGTGCGGATGTCGAAACTTACTTATATTAGACATGTATGAAACCTGTGATTATGTAAGCGATTTTTTATGTGAGTTGATATAACTATCTAGCGATTATTACTCAATGTATTTCTCACAGAATAAACGTTCATCTACATTTGAAAATTATGGCCGATTATAAAATGTTGCCGACATGCTTGAAACTTAATATAAACATATATCTTGTAATTTTATTTCTTTTTTAAGAGAAACATATATATTTGTTGAGCATGTGTGTGTGTGTGCTATCTGTTGTGTCTGTTGTGTGGTATCTGAAAATTTGATATAGCAGCCAATTTATAAATTAATTAAAGCACGCGAAGACTTGATGCGTATATTCGTATCCGCCTGTTTCTCTTGTATATATAAAAGAATATATAAAAGACATTTCTTTATAGAATAAAAACAGAGACACACGATCTGCTTAGAATTTGAAATTTATCTCTCTTGCAAGATCTTAAAAAACTACACGCAAGAACTAACAAGACTCTAATTGCAGCGTTTGAAATAAATTGTCTTTTACATCGTTTATATAACTCCAAAAGAACTAGAAGATGTTAATTCTCTCTCTCTCTCTCTCTCTCTCTCTCTCTCTCTCTCTCTCTTTTTCTTTCAAGAATAAAAGATGTGTACATGTCAACAAGAATCTAGAGAAAGAAAACAACTTCGATATTCTTACATCTCAGAATATTATTTGCATAATAATTAAAGAATCGGTAGCGACTGACGTTAAAATCATAAAAATGAAGAATTATAGAGCAATTAAATGACGTATTTGTTGCAACTAAAATTATTAAAATACGCTTTATTATTAAAATAAAAAACCGCAGCAAGTTTATTTTAGTTCCGACATGATTTAATATAAGCGTTTTAACGTTTTATTTGCTGTGTGTGTAATACGTGTAAATCAAGAATTATCTATTATTACTTAGAATGTGTCATTACAAAATTGCGTAGAAAAATGGAAATTGATTATTATCGAACAATATGGAAACATTCGTGCGTATCAATAAAAAATTTTCAACGAGAGGCTATTAAAATTAATTGCAAAGCAAAAAAATTTTTGGAAATAAACTTTTTTGCCGAGCCAGATGTAGAACTCGACCACACCGCGTTATATAATTCTTACGAGATCCAGCAACATTGAGAATTCTTCATCGTGTATATAAGTCGGTTAGCAAGCTTTCTCTCCCGAATTAAATGTAGGACGCTAATGATGAAATTTTTGAAATCACCAAATTTTTTGTCTGAGGCGTCTTCGATATTTCGATACGTCATTATATTGTACATTGAAGTATTTCTCTGTTGCGACAAATATTTATGCACAAGCGGTAACACAGTTTTGACACAATAGCAAAATGTCTTTGTGAAAAGTAGTATGATTTTTGCTTTGATAACAAATTAAAATTATTCTATATAAATAAACTTGTTTATTTGGCAAAAGTTTTCTATATTTCACAACAGAACGAATTTTATTGCAGTGTCCATAATGAGATAAAAGTTGTTAGTCATAAAGACGGATTATTACGGCTGTCATTGTACGAAAAAAGTGGTAGAAATGATAAATTTGTGATGATAGCCGAATCTTTTTTCCGCAAACTTAACAATACAATTATTATTAAGTTATTCTGACATTTAATGCTTTCGCAGTGTGTAATATTAACATACAAAGATGTTTTTTTCGGGTTTGAACAGCGTTAGTGTCATTTTTATACCGACGTTTCGTGAACATTACAGCTCACTTTATCAGGGTTTAAAGAGCAGCCTGATACAGTATCAAGTTGATAGAGCAGCCTGATACAGTATCAAGCTGCTCTTTAAACTCTGATAAAGTGAGCTGTAATGTTCACGAAACGTCGGTATAAAAATGACGCTAACGCAGTTCAAACTCGAAAAAACATCTCGTTGTATATTATTAATTTATCACAAATTATCTTTGTAATTCCGTTTTTTTATCAATACAAAATTTCTCAATTTGAATACTGAGACGTACAATCTGTGTGTCTCGCAATTTTTACAGTTTCTGACAAAAACATACAAAAAAAAAACATTTTATTCATCTCGTTATACGTGCCGGTATATATCGGCGACGTAATAAATTTTTCGCCACTTAATTCAAGTATTGATGAATATCAGGCGGCAGTGACACATTATCTCGCTGCAATCGCGGCGATTTCTATCTTACACATACGTAGCTTGCAATCATTTCTATTTCTACGAGAACGATAACTCAAGAGATAAATATTACTCGATTATATCGCTTAATTTTACAAAACAACAAGAAGTACAAAACAATATGCAAAATAAATAAGCAACAAAACAACAATGTAAATAATTGGTGCGCGTCGCGAAATAAGTTGCGTTGTAATTTTTTCTATCTTACAAAGAAAATACACATTTAATTAATGTATATGTAATATTTTTTAATTAAAACGATTTTGTACAAGAGAATAGTTACCGGTCTCTTTATTAACAAGTGTTGTTAATTACTTTAGGAAGTTTGGAATGTAAGACTTGTATGTGATATCATCAAAGACTTTCGTGAGATATATGTAAATGAGTGTCAGTACGGCGACGGCAATGAGGGTCTCTCGCGATTAAAAGGATCAACATCACGAATGTAATGTTTGTCCGGCAATTTATAGTTTGCATGGTGCAAAACGCGCGTTGCGCTCACACAAAGCTTTACGGTACGTAATACCATTCGTTAACCATGAGTATAAATTACCTGCGACTGTTGCATAATATACGCGATCTCTCCTTTCTCAGTAGCCGACTTACCGACCAGTTTATGTGTGTCCGAAAGTTTGATTTCTTAATCTGACCTCGGAAGGACGATGCGTATGTATGAAAAAAAAAAAAAAAAAAAAAAAAAAACACAAGACTCTTACGTACTGAAAAATTTATTATTGCGTCGAATAAACATTATTGTACGGTTGTTATTCTTCTTTGGTATGACGTTTTATAAAAAAAAAAAAAAAAAAAAAAACAAAATCTTATCCAGATCGATCGGTATTATCGCGAAAATGATCGTTATAATTGAAATGATGCTCTACTTGCTCGCGCTCTACCTCAATTTGTTCTACTTTTGCCGCACAAGGCTGTTTGCTCGATACATATCAGAGATGAAGTTTCTAGATTAATAAAAAATTGTTTAAAAAAACCACGACAATCTTACCGGATTGAAGTTTTCTAAAAATTTTACACGCGATATATAAATATACATTATATTTCGATGGAAGTAGACATATATAATTTTGATCGCAGCAAAATTTATAATTGCGGTTGCGCGCAAATTATGTTGCGCAAATAAAAATAACATCGTTCTCTTAATTGTTTTTATTAATTGTGAAAAGTGCGAAAAAAAGATCTGTTATTTTGGATGTGTGTGTGTCAAAGAAAAGAAAATTAGAACGATGGTTAAACAGCTCGTTAAAGCGAGAACTAAATTACAGGTCAACAACATGAAAATCATGCAACGTGGAACGTTGTATAGTTGATACGTAAGAGAGATCCTTAATAATATCACACTTAGACAATAAAATTTATCGAATATTACGTATCGAGATCTAACTAGCGGTAAACTGTACAAATGATGTCTTTAAACATCCTCATTGTTTCTTTCTTCTTAAGAAAACGTTAAGTTATATGAGCAACACGTGTGTTACGCAACACACGCAGTTGATCTCCAGACTCGCGCAGACTCTTGACATTACTACATAAATGTTAGTTTGCATACTCCGAGTTTAAGCGTCGGAAATAAATGCCGAGATTATGATAAATGCGATCTTTATCATAATTTCTCGTATTGCAAAATAAGTCAGAGAGATATGTGATAAGAATAATATTTGCATAAATTTGTTCGGAAGAGACTGAAAATTTGCAAATTTCAAAAATTAGGTCACTTCACGAAGAACATTAAATATCACGAAAAATATTATTTCCCACATTCCCGTGGATTATGCTTTGTCCGGTAAAAAGTGCCATCGGTTATACATTACTGTATATTACATATTCACATTTATTTTTTACTTGCACAAACCAAGAAGAAAGAGAACTTCAACAAACACAGACGGTAAAGAGCAAGTTATTGCCATTTATTGCATCTATCGGTCATTTATCTCGTGAAGAACACCATAATGGAAATTACTCAATTGCTTTTCTCAGAGTGAAAACTACAGAGTCGAATGGCTAAACTTCGATCGAGCGTGTGTCCTTATTGCGTTGTGCAAATTATCTGCAATAATAAAACGCGCGTTGTGCAAATTATCTGCGGCAATATAAAAAGATACAACAAGGAATTCAATTTATGTGTTGCAATATATTTTACTTTAATTAAATTTAAAGAGATTTCGAACTGTTGCGTATTACGCGTAATAATTGTTTATAATAATTAAATTCTCTCGATTTAATTTCTATATCAATTCCACATATGTAGAGATTTATATAGAAAGCTCAAATAGAAAGCAAAAAAATTTTGTTGTGAAATAATTGAAATGCCCGGAAGGTAAACAAATATTTTAACTATATTTTTATCAGAGCCGTAAAATATGTATGTCCGCGTTCCTACGTGTTACGAACAGACAGTCACTAGTTACGTCGCGAATGCCGTAATATATCGCCGCTGTGATTTCGGAGCCGCAGCATCCGCGACGCGGTGTTATATACGCGCGTGCGTGTAATTTCTCTCGTGCGCTGCGCGCTTCTAACCGAGTCAGCACGTTTCACTATAAGAACAAAAATTCATCTTCATGCAAAGTGCGTATCAGGCAATTTTGCAACAGCAGCTCGCGCCAACATATAGCTGCGTAGTAATTCAACGGAAATAATTGTATGAATAACTCGAAATGATCGATATCACACGTTTCGTGCAGAAGGACCTTGTCAGAAAAGATCTTGTCACAACATTTTTGCGCGCAAATAACTCTCTAGCTAATTTTTATCAATCTTTT